CGGCGATGCACCTGGCCGAAGGCGACGTCCCACTACTCCCCTTATCGCTGGAGGCCAATACCGAGGTCAGCCCATGCAGGTCGGCCACGAGGGGAGGGGCAGGGGTCAGAGGGGGAGGGGTAGGGGGGCGGACGTCCTCGACGTCCTCAGTAGCAAGCTCACAGACCTCGGCAAGCAGCGGCAGCGTCGCCGACGAGGTGTCAGAGGGCGGGGTGGACGACGAGCGGCCAGACACCGGCCCATGCTCCGCCTTCCACTCGGCCAGCGACATCTCCTCGTAGAACACCACGTACGACGTGGTGACCACTCGGTCGGTGTCGACGTCGAGGAGCTCCCAGCCCTTGCTCGCCGCCGACACGCCAAGGTGCAGGCCCCACCTGGCCTTCGGCTTCAGCTTCCCACCACGCTGCTGCTCAGGGACAAGGAACTGCACCATGCAGCCCCACACCCGTGCCAGCGACAAGTCGGGCTTCTTCCCGGTCAGCAGCTGGTACAGCGTCGTCCCCGGCGGCAGCGCCGACCTCTCAAGGCAGTTGCGGACCCAGACGCCCTGCCGGAGAGCGAGGTGCCACCAGTGGTGCTGCACGCCCATGTGCAGCAGCATTGTCCACACCGACTCCACCACCGTCCTCATCTGAGGTCGTGGACGATCCCCTTGCCGTTCACGAAGTCGGTGAACTGCTTCCCGAGGAACTCCCCTCCCGGGTCAGAGCGCAGCATCAACACCGACTTCTTCGTCTGCCGCTCAGCCAACGCCAGCCACTGCACGAACACCCGCAACGCATCTGACTTCTTGGCGACCGGCTTCACCCACACGTAGCGGGTCTTGCGGTCCTTCAGCAGCAAGAAGTACAGGCTGCTATCCTTGGCAGCCACGCGGAACGGCCCGCACAGGTCGATGTGCACGACGGCCAGCACGTCGTCGGCGTCGGAGCCTTGGTCGGGGAAGGTGTGCCACGCCAGTTTCCTGCCGACGCACGTGACACACGGGGAGTCGGCGTCCGTCGCCGACTTGAGGTCCAGCCCAATGGCGACCTTGTTCTTCGCCGAGCTCCGTATGGTGTCCATGCCGACATGTGCAAGCCGCGCATGCATCCGGTCCGGGGTCGACTTCGTCTTCGAGACGATCGCCCGCAGAGCCACAACCTCCGTCGTGGGCGACGTCGACCTCGTTGAGCAGGGACGCAGGTCGGTGCAGAGGACACGCCCGGAGTACGTCGCCCGACTGAGCACCGCTCCGGCTGCAGAGACGAGCATCATTCCCTCTCCGTCCTCGTGCAGCTTCACGCCGTGCTCCTTCAGCAGGCCGGACGACAGCAGGTTGGCCCGCACACCCGGGACATACAGTACGTCGGGGATGAGTACCTGCTTCCCGGCCTCCCCTTGTAGGGCGACGGTGCCACGGCACTGGATGTCCTGCAGCGCCCCATTGAAGCCGCGCACATGCCTGATGGCGCCGCTCGGGTGCAGGTCAACGAAGGCTTCCTTCGTCCCCATCAGGTGGTGGGAGCAACCGCTGTCGAGCAGGACCACCGCCGGGTTCGCCTGCACAGCTGCCGCCACCGCCTGGAAGTCCTCTCCGGCCTCCGGCGCCAGCGAGACGGTCGGCTCCACGACGCTGACCAGCGAGCACGACGCCGTCTTGTCATCCCGCGCCTTGCCGCTAGCAGGGGAGTCGGCGTCCTTCGCCGAAGTCGACATCTTGGTCGACTGCTTCTCCTTGCGCGGCCGGTTTCCCTCTTTGACGAGGACGACGACTGCTCGACCTCCCGCGGCCGCCCTTGTCGTTGTCGTCGGAGTCACTGCGGTCGGGACACTCGAAGGAGAGGTGATCGGGGCTGTGGCAGATCCAGCACTCTCGACGTCGACCTCCTCCTTCTCGACCGCCGTCCTTGGTCGACTTCTTCTCGACCTCCTTGGTCGACTTCCAGCCACCACTCCCGCCGCCACCAGACTGTCCGCGCTGTCCTGGTCGGCCTCCTTGCTTCGCCGGGGCGACGAAGTTGGCTTGCGCCAAGAGCTCCTGTGACCGCTCAGCCTCCTGCATCGCCTCGTCCTGCAGGATGTACGAGGTCAGGTTGTCCTCGTTGAGCGTCGCCCTTGTGCTCGGCGCCATTGACAGCCGCTTCAGAAGGTTATAGCTGCTAGAAAGTCCCTGCATGACATGGGTGATGTACGACGCCGTGGAGTACTGCGCGCCGGCCATCCAGATGGTGGCAAGAATTCGTCGTGCTCGGTTGCAGTAGTCAGTCGCTGTCTCCTCGTCACCCATACGCAGGTGCGTCAGCTGTCCCTCCAGCTGGGCAATGAACAGGTCATCGGTGACCTGGTACGTCGACTCAATGAAGTGCCACGCCCGGTGGCCGGCGTCGATGTACTCCGAGCACCACTTTAAGGCGATCTGCACGCCCGGCGAGCAGCACCGCGAGATGATCGTGAAGGTCAACAGCTGCACGGCGCGAAACTCCGCCCGCAAGTCGGGGTGGTGCTCCCCCGGCGTCGCCACGGTCCCTCGGGCGAAGCCGATCAGCCCGGCCATCTCCAGCTGGGGCTCGATAGCTTCCTTCCAGGTGAGAATGTCGGGTCGACCGACCAATGGGGGGGTGACTGAGATCCTGTCCGGCGTGAACTTGAAGTAGCCGTAGCTCGGCGCAATCCCGCCTGCCGTCACCTGGGACGCCGACATCGGCGACAGCCCACTCCGTCGACCTCCGACGTCACCCTGCAAAGAGCCTGCAGCCGCCGACGACTGCATCCCTTGCGTCTGAACGCCGCCGACTTCACCGGCGTGTATCACACCTCTCTGCCTCGACGTACCTCCACCACTGCTGCCGGCTTGACCACCACCGGCGTTGACGCCCACGTCGACGCCGCCTTCGTTGTTCACCGGACGAGGAGAGGCAGGTCGAGACGGGTGCTCTGTCGCCCACATGGAGCGGAGTCCAGCCTTGACGACCGCCCAGGGCAAGTCGCCATACTCGTTGGCCTCGTGCTTCCTCCTCGCGTTCTCCAACCGTGCCTCCAGGGAGTCCACCACCCCCGCGTCACCTACGGCTCCTACCATAGTGACTACCGCACAGTTGCCGGCCTGTAACTACAAAATAGGTAAGTGGTGTCTACGTCGACCTGACTGAAAGGTAAGTTGTGTGCCGTCCACGCTCACCGCACCATGCGGAGATAACTGCTACAACGGGAGCTAGACTACGGGCTAGGCACGGGTGCTCGTGTGATCTCTGCGTTCGTTAGTCCTTAGTCGTTTTCCTTGTGCACACACTACTTGCTAGTTCACGGGGAAAATTGGCAAGAGTTCCACTAGGAAAAGTTCAGAACAATGATACAATGAAGTTGGCATAGCAAGACTACATCAGAGCAAGCATTCAGGTCAGCCAACTGCCAGCGCAGCTTGGTCGACCGCGTTCCAGCACGACTTGGTCGATCGCGCTCCAGCAAGGCAAGGTCGACGGCGTGCCAACGTCGCATGTTGACAGCGTGCCAGCGTTGCTTGCGCAGAACAGCAGTGCACCCGCTTCGCAGGTGTGCGCAGATGATTGGCATCCAGAGTCTCGTCACCTGCACAGCGCACACACCACGTCAACCTCGTGCTCGGCGTCCTGAGTCGAGGTCGATGTCGGCCCCTCCTTCGTCGACCACCAGGTCCAGTCGACCACCCGCAGGTCGACCAGCAGTCCGTCACCCGACCACCGAAGTCGGCTTCCCCAAGTTGATGTCACCAAGTTGACGTCCTCCGCAGGTCGACTCCCAAGTCGACCCCCCCCGAAGTCGGCGCCACCCTGGAGTCGGCGCCCGTGCAGTGATCCCCGTGCAGGTCGACCTCCTCGTCAACCAGCTGGCCCACTGCCGCAGGTCGGCTGCTCCCCTCACCCCGACCACGATGTCGGCTCCGCCCAAGCGAGGACGGGGCCAACACACAACTCCCGTTGACAGAATATTCTTTGTGGTTCTTGTGTGAACAATTGTGATTGAGTTAAGTTTCAGCTACAGCATATCCCTTAGGGCGCCAAAATTCAGAACTCAAGAAATGCTTCATCTTTTGATACGAAGTTATGCTTCATCTTTTGTTGTTTTCCCAGGTTGGAAAAATAGAACCAGAGGTTGTTTACCAACCTACCACCTGCTGTTTTGTCTAGCCAGGTTGGTTCTGTTGCTTGGAATTATTTGGGATCATCCCTGGTTGTTCCCAGGTTTATTCCCAAGGTCCTTGCTAGCTAGAACTACTTATTCCTTCTCTGTTTGTACCTGGATATACTCAGTTTGATTCAAGCGAATTCCTCCCTTCCTGGAATTTCGTTTCTACGCGGTGCAATGGCGGAATGCTACCCGAGTCAACGCTAGTACGCTAGCACTCCAACACTAGGCAAACGCTGTCCGAGCCATAACTTCGTAATGGCAGAACCGGTTCCACGCCCTTATTCTGGTTGAATCGAAGCGGGACTTTCGTTATGGCATATTTCGCAAGGTTGGTGAAGATAGATTCAATGCAGCCATGTCATACCAAATGTCTGCTAGCAAAATAATTCAGCTAAAAAAAACCATTAATTTTACAATATAACAATGCATTTTCCAAATCAGTGTCGGATGCTTTATGTCCTATGTCCTGGCAATGCAAGTATGTTCAACAAGGTTGTGGATAAAACCTGCCACGTTGTTTGTTATAACTTTGCACAATATTTTCATGCGAAGCAACTCGGGTCCTTCATATTTTGTACCCGTTGAAAAGGGACGCCTTTATTTGTAGAGTTTATATCACGCTAGGGTGTTATACCCGGGGAATTACAGTAAACATTCATGCCAAATACACATGGGTACCGTCATTATGGGCATTTTTAACGCCCTTTGGTTGGCTTCGAGTGCAGCCAGCTCTTGAGGCCATCACCTATCGAGCCAACGCGCACAAATGAACTCACACCAGACTGTGAACCATGCGGCCTCTCAGCCTCCCTCCTGCTGTCTCCAAATGACATAGCAAAAGCATCCCTAGTTTAACTACCCTTGTTGCTTTCACTCTCTTCTTCTGTGGCACTCTCCCACTCATCCTCCTTGTCGGGGCAGTGCTTGGCAATGAGGGCACTGAGGCGGTATGCCACATCCTTCATAGTGGGTCGCCGTGTGCCGGGAGACTTGATGCAGTCCAGAGCCAGGTCTGCAAGTTCCACTATAGCCTCTTCACTTGCCGCCGGCATCTTGCTGTCCCTCAGCTCTTCTAGCTCATATGTCTCCACCAGCTTCATAGCCTGGAAGGAGTTTATAAAAGAAAGGGTGATGGAAAGCAGCATGCTAAGTATGGAAGACGGTGGAAGGCAGCAAGATGACAAAAACATTACTGTACAAATGAGTGGTAGCACAAAAGTGAATTACGGATAAATGAGTGGCCATTAGATCCATTTGAGATTCGATGGACATTAACATTATCTTAAATGCACTATTTTTATTTGTTTTTTAGCAAACTCAAATCTTGGATAACACACTTACCCATTTGCATATGTGCGTTCTTGTGTTGACTTGGGGCGACTTTCCACTCAGCAGCTCAAGAAGCACAACTCCAAAGCTGCAAGCAATCATGCATTTAATATAAGAGGGAAAAAGATGGAGAAAAAGAGAGAGAGAGGTACAGGGTACAGGTATTTAGCATAACCTGGATATTAAGAGAAACAGGGGCGCAGAAGTGTAATGTGTTGTGGAAAGGAACAAGCATACTGACCTGAACACGTCACTCTTGGCTGTGATGACATTGGTGCGGTTGTAATCCGGATCCACATAGCCCGGAGTGCCAGCAACTCGCGTGGCATCAGCATCGCCGTGAGTGAGGCGCTTGAGCAGCCCAAAGTCAGCCACCTTGGCTTGCATGTCTTCAGTCACAAGAATGTTGGCGGGCTTGATGTCACAGTGAACGATGGGCGCGTCAAACCCTTGCAGGTACGCCAAGCCCTCTGCTGCTCCCAGTGCCAGGCGCAGCCTCTGGCGTAGAGACAGCGGACCTGGGCCATGCAACGAGTATACCATGTAGTGAGAAAAACAAACAACATATGGATGATAGGTTTGTGAGTGATGGTGTCATGCTGTGCAAGAAAATTAATAATAATGTAAACAAAAGGCGCGTGGCAACCATAGTGCAAACTCACGCTTGGTCCTGTGGATATGGTAATCCATGTCCCTGTTGCCTATGAAATCGTACACGAGGATCTGCTCCTGCTTGCCTGTCTCCACGTTCTGGTCCAGGCAAAAGCCCAGCAGGCGCACAAGGTGTGTGTGGTGGAGAGAGGCCATGGCTCGCACCTGTAGTGAGAACACAAGACAGGCAATGACGCACATGGCCATGGAATGGCGGGCATTCAGTTCGCAGGTCAGCAGTTGTCACATGTACATGGATCACAATGCAGGGGGATGTGCATGGATTTAAGCTGGAGGTCAGCATTTTGAAGAACACAATGTGGCCCCGAATTAGAATGTTAGCATTCTGAGCAACAAAAAATATTCCTAGAATCTAAGTCACTACACCACTGGGATAAAAGCGCTTTTTAAAGTAGTGAGCGCGTCCATTATCCCCTAGGCAAGCGTGCTTGTAGCCATTTCTCAGTATCAATCGGGGGATCCCCAGTGCACGTCTACTGGCACCCCCCCCCCAACCCCTCACCCCTCACTGGGATGACTTAGGACACGGTACAGTGGCAACAACACATGGGCGCCAGTATGTGCGCATATGAAGTTTCGAATCGGAAACCTTTGCTCTGTTATCACGTCAGGATTAAGCTACTGCACAACTAGGATGGAATGGTTGTTAAGGAGCGGGTGAGTGCATCCATAAACCCCATGCAAGAGTGCTTGTAAACCTTCCCTGGGATCAATCGAGGATTCACAGTGCATGTGTTCTGACAAGTACTGATTTTTTTGTCCTCACCTCCGTTTCGAAGTCGTTGGTCATGATGGTGGATCGCTTGATGGCCCACAGCTGGCCCTGTGGAGAGCGGCCTTTGTATACAATGCCAAAGCCACCCTTGCCCAGCACATTGTCCTCCGACCAGTTGTTGGTGGCCCTTAGCATCTGCTGCAGCGAGAATTGCTCGCACACATCCAGCCCCTCCCACTTCTCTGCACACAGAAAAAATCCAGACTAGAGGTGTGAGGGACTAAGGGTGTAGATGCGTGGACAGAGCATGAGAAAAGAGTGGAGGCGAGCATGAGGGCAGAGTAGAGGCGAGCATGAGGGCAGAGTAGAGGCGAGCATGAGGGCAGAGTAGAGGCGAGCATGACAGCAGAGTAGAGGCGAGCATGAGGGCAGAGTAGAGACGAGCATGAGGGCAGAGTAGAGGCGAGCATGAGGGCAGAGTACAGGCGAGCATGAGGGCAGAGTAGAGGCGAGCATGAGGGCAGAGTAGAGGCGAGCATGAGGGCAGAGTAGAGGCGAGCATGAGGGCAGAGTAGAGGCGAGCATGAGGGCAGAGTAGAGACGAGCATGAGGGAAGAGTAGAGGCGAGCATGAGGGCAGAGTAGAGGCGAGCATGAGGGCAGAGTAGAGGCGAGCATGAGGGCAGAGTAGAGGCGAGCATGACAGCAGAGTAGAGGCGAGCATGAGGGCAGAGTAGAGACGAGCATGAGGGCAGAGTAGAGGCGAGCATGAGGGCAGAGTAGAGGCGAGCATGAGGGCAGAGTAGAGGCGAGCATGAGGGCAGAGTAGAGGCGAGCATGAGGGCAGAGTAGAGGCGAGCATGAGGGCAGAGTAGAGGCGAGCATGAGGGCAGAGTAGAGACGAGCATGAGGGAAGAGTAGAGGCGAGCATGAGGGCAGAGTAGAGGCGAGCATGACGGCAGAGTAGAGGCGAGCATGAGGGCAGAGTAGAGGCGAACATGAGGGCAGAGTAGAGGCGAGCATGAGGGCAGAGTAGAGGCGAGCATGAGGGCAGAGTACAGGCGAGCATGAGGGCAGAGTACAAGCGAGCATGAGGGCAGAGTAGAGGCGAGCATGAGGGCAGAGTAGAAGCGAGCATGAGGGCAGAGTAGAGGCGAGCATGGGGGCAGAGTAGAGGCGAGCATGAGAAAAGAGTACAGGCAAGCACGAGGGCAGAGTAGAGGCGAGCATGAGGGCAGAGTAGAGGCGAGCATGAGGGCAGAGTAGAAGCAAGCATGAGGGCAGAGTAGAGGCGAGCATGAGGGCAGAGTAGAGGCGAGCATGAGGGCAGAGTAGAGGCGAGCATGAGGGCAGAGTAGAGGCGAGCATGAGGGCAGAGTAGAGGCGAGCATGAGGGCAGAGTAGAGGCGAGCATAAGGGCAGAGTAGAGGCGAGCATGAGAGCAGAGTAGAGGCGAGAATGAGGGCAGAGTAGAGGCGAGCATGGGGGCAGAGTAGAGGCGAGCATGAGGGCAGAGTAGAGGCGAGCATGAGGGCAGAGTAGAGGCGAGCATGAGGGCAGAGTAGAGACGAACATGAGGGCAGAGTAGAGGCGAGCATGAGGGCAGAGTAGAGGCGAGCATGAGAAAATAATACAGGCGAGCATGAGGGCAGAGTAGAGGCGAGCATGAGGGCAGAGTAGAGGCGAGCATGAGGGCAGAGTAGAGGCGAGCATGAGGGCAGAGTAGAGGCGAGCATGAGGGCAGAGTAGAGACGAGCATGAGGGCAGAGTAGAGGCGAGCATGAGGGCAGAGTAGAGGCGAGCATGAGGGCAGAGTAGAGGCGAACATGAGGGCAGAGCAGAGGCGAGCATGAGGGCAGAGTACAGTCGAGCATGAGGGCAGAGTAGAGGCGAGCATGAGGGCAGAGTAGAGGCGAGCATGAGGGCAGAGTACAGGCAAGCATGAGGGCAGAGTAGAGGCGAGCATGAGGGCAGAGTAGAGGCGAGCATGAGGGCAGAGTAGAGGCGAGCATGAGAAAATAATACAAGCGAGCATGAGGGCAGAGTAGAGGCGAGCATGAGGGCAGAGTAGAGGCGAGCATGAGGGCAGAGTACAGGCGAGCATGAGGGCAGAGTAGAGGCGAGCATGAGGGCAGAGTAGAGGCGAGCATGAGGGCAGAGTAGAGGCGAGCATGAGGGCAGAGTAGAGGCGAGCATGAGGGCAGAGTACAGGCGAGCATGAGGGTAGAGTAGAGGCGAGCATGAGGGCAGAGTAGAGGCGAGCATGAGGGCAGAGTACAGGCAAGCATGAGGGCAGAGTAGAGGCGAGCATGAGGGCAGAGTAGAGGCGAGCATGAGGGCAGAGTACAGGCGAGCATGAGGGCAGAGTAGAGGCGAGCATGAGGGCAGAGTACAGGCGAGCATGAGGGTAGAGTAGAGGCGAGCATGAGGGCAGAGTAGAGGCGAGCATGAGGGCAGAGTACAGGCGAGCATGAGGGCAGAGTAGAGGCGAGCATGAGGGCAGAGTACAGGCGAGCATGAGGGCAGAGTAGAGGCGAGCATGAGGGCAGAGTAGAGGCGAGCATGAGGGCAGAGTAGAGGCGAGCATGAGGGCAGAGTAGAGGCGAGCATGAGGTGAACTGCAGGGGCGACCAGCTGCAATCGCCAACCACCAAAAGACTTCTCCTCACTTCCCTTATCTTGCTTGCTAATGGAACAGTAGGTTTTCTCATGATCTTGATGTCTTGACTGCCTTGTTGATGAACTTCAAAAGTGAAAATGAACTCCCGAATAAATGTTCTTTTGCTCTGCAAGAGACTCCACACCCCACTCCCCCTCTCACTCGTGTGTATGTGTGTGAGCTTGCACATGGCTGCGAACACACAAGTGAGGTGTGTGGGGTTAAGTGACCTCCAGTTGTGCAGCATACCTCGAGAAGCCCGTACATGTGAGTGCACCACTGACTTGCTCATCCTGTGCAGATTTCGCACCAGGCAGAACTGGTTGAAGGCCGCATAAGAGGCTGCAAGTGATGTCATTTCCTTTCGCGGGTGCAGGCTGGTCTTTGGTCACGCCTGTTGTTGCATATCTCAACTTGTTCCAGCTTCATCTTCAACCTCCTCTGGTAGAGATACGCTTGCTGCATGTAAGGTATTTGCTGCAGCACCTCATTTTACTTTGGCTGCATTGACCACAGTAGCTGCATCATGTCTATGTAGATCTTGTTTTGCAAAATCTGGTCCATCTTCTTCATTTCCTTCTCCCCCTGAAGTCCACACCGCAACGTGAGGTGGGACTTTATTCGCGTTCTGTTGGTGTCCAAGCAAAGTCCCAGAATCCAGCAACATGTCATCAAAGGTGCGTGGTGAGTGAGTGTCCATGTCAACATCACGTGCCATGTCCATCACGACACAAGTCATGTGCGCGATACAATAGATGACGGATGCAATAGCAGATTGACCGTTCAATCCAAAATGACCATGCGCATTCGATGGTGCATCCTCATGAGTATGTCCAGATTCATGGGCAGAAACAAGTGCTGGCTCATATTCCACCATAAGCAATCCGAGCACATTCTTGCCAAGTCCAATTCGTACATTCCCATCTCCATCATCTGTAGTGTGAATTCGAGTTCCATGTTTTAGTAGCTGACAGAATGAAAGGAGATTACTCTTCAAACCGGGTACGTAGAGCACTTCGATGTACCAAACTGTTATCCCATAGGGTGCTTTTACTCTGATTGTGCCCACCATTGAGCTGTTCAGAGTGCTCCCATCGGCAAGCTCCATGCATACAGGCTCGTCCAACTCCTTCAAAACCTCAAACCATTGTTTATTCGATGTTATGTGCTGGCTGAATCCGCTATCCAGCAGCCATAAGAACCCTCCAGCCGAGGGTAGTGCAGCTTGGGATAACCGAATTGTTGCAATGCAGGTAATGGTATGTTTGGTGCTTGTCTTGGCTGCCCCTTGCTCTTTTGGCTCATTGTTGTCATGCTTGGGGCTGCCACTTCTTTGGGGAGAGGTTAAACGGCTGTTGCTGGTGCGTTGGTTGGCCCTCCTTTTGTTTTGAGGTTCCCACCCCAGTGGTGACCATCCTAGTGGTGTCGTGTGGCACTTATAGAATGGGTGGCCCAGTTGCTTGCAAATTCAGTGTACGAGAGTTGAGTGTCCGCCCCTTCCATCATTACTTTTCATTTTCTCCCCGTTTGTCACTTGCTGCCCTCCGCTTGAAGTTGCAGCATTCTCGGTCAAGGTACTCTCCATTGCATGTGAGTTGTTGTTGGGTGCAAATTCACATTGCACGACATCCTGCAGTCTGTTTGTACGACTATGCGTGTGCAAATGCATTTGGGTGTGAATGGAATGTTCGTGTGTTTGATTGCTTTCGCAATTTTTGCTTGAAGCATTTGCACGTACTCGCACATTGTGCGCTTCGGCACAACATTGTACGCGCTATGAACAGTACAAGCAGAAAGGACGAGCTCGCAAAGGAACCCAAGATGGAAGCTTTGCGGTTCGGTTGAATTGTTTGCGCAGATTCAGTTCTATCCAACTCGAAATTGTACTGTTTTGTTTGGTTGACAATAGTGTAGCAGGGCCGGCACTATAGGGGTACAATTTAGGTGAAGGTTGGATGTTGTTTATCTGTATCTGTATACTGCAGGGCCAGGGGAAACCAGCGGAACCAGCATTTGGCTGGTTGGGCAAAGACAAAACAGGTTTTGTTTTTAGGACTTGAACCTGGTTGTTGTTTTCCCAGGTTGGAAAAACAGAACCAGAGGTTGTTTACCAACCTACCACCTGCTGTTTTGTCCAGCCAGGTTGGTTCTGTTGCTTGGAATTATTTGGTATCATCCCTGGTTGTTCCCAGGTTTATTCCCAAAGTCCTTGCTAGCTAGAACCATTTATTCCTTCTCTGTTTGTACCTGGATATACTCAATTTGATTCAAGCAAATTCCTCCCTTCCTGGAATTTCGTTTCTACGCGGTGCAATGGCGGAATGCTACCCGAGTCAACGCTAGTACGCTAGCACTCCAACACTAGGCAAACGCTGTCCGAGCCATAACTTCGTAATGGCAGAACTTTTCGCGAGGCAACTTGGTTCATTTTAAAGCTCTTGGAGCGAGCTTCAATATAGGAAATTCTCAGCTAATTCCGATTAACGGTCTGCACGATACGCTGCGCGACGTTCGAGGTACTCTTGCTGTTTTGACTAAGTCCCTCTTGATCCCTCTCTCTACAAACTCGGACCCGAGGATAGGGGCTGGTCTTGTATCAGGCACCCAAGGACCCTTGGAGGTGACCCGAGGAGAGGTTTTAAGTTTGATAAAGTCTTAATAGCTTGAGTTTATTAAGCCCTTACATAAACAAGCTGGTATCAAAGCTAAGTTATAGTGATCCTCGTTATAGGTAGCTATGGCGGGCAACACCTTGACAGGAGCTGGTGAATCTTCAGCCCAAGATCGTAGCGGCAACCACGATTCTGATGTTTCGGCGCCAAGGGGAGCGCGAACAAACCAGGGCTCGCTGGTCAAGGAGGTGCTGAAGAACTTCACCGTCGAGAAGTTCAATGGTGAGGGCTATGATGATTGGGCCTGGAAAATGCAATTGTATTTCCGTCAGATCGATTTGCTGAAACTAATTATAGGGGAGGAGCCTAGACCGAGTGACCCCGCACTACAGGAACATTGGGATGAGCGCTCCTCGGCTGGCTACTATTTGATGTCGTAGAGTTTGGAGCTGGACCAGCGTCACCACGTCATGCACCTGCTGCCGGAGGTTGAGTGCGGTCCGAAGGCGTGGACTGTGTTGAAGGAACTGCACGCCCAGACCTTCGTTGTTGCAACGTTGATGCTGGAGAGGGAGCTGTCCGCGTTGCGCGTGAGCGAGGGAGAGCCGGTGCAACCTGTCCTCGACAAGATGCGCGACCTCTACGCGAAGTTGGTGACCGCGGGAATCATCTACCCGGAGCAGACCAAGTGCTTGAAGATGCTCTCGCTGCTGCTGGAATTGTGGCTTCAATTCACGAGCGGATTGAGCCTGCCGCAGAACCAGAGCTCGTGGACACTCGAGTGGGTGCGGACAAAGATTCTGGAGGAGGAGTTCTGTCGCCGCCAACTGAGGGGTGGAGACGACGGCAGCAGCGGCTACGGAATGCAAGGGAGCCGACGTGGCAGAGGACGTGGCTTTGGTGGTGCTAGACGCGGTGCAAAGAAGGACGACGACTCCAACGACCAACAAGGAGGTACCGGTTGGGGTCGCGGTGCGAAATCTGGACGTGGGGGCAAGTCGGGTGCTGGTGGCAAAATGAAAGGGAGTTGCTGGTATTGTGAGAAGGAGGGGCACCCCTGGTTTTTGTGCTATAAGAAACCCGACGGATGGACCCCCCAGAATCGTCACCAGGATGGCGGCGCGCAGAGGAACCAGAAAAACGGCGCGAGCATGGTCGCCGATTCGTCCGATAACAACCTGAAGAGCAACGGCGGTGCGGAAAAGAAGAAGGAGCGCACCGCGGGCTAGTTCTTCGATATTGGAGAGCAGGGGGAGCAAAGAGACGCCTCTGCCAAGGTTGGAGCAGAGCTGCACCCCCTGGACTATTGGGTGTTGGACACGGGCGCTGCTTGGAGGATGACGCCGCGCAAGGACCTGCTGGACCACGTACGCGCTGCACCGATCAACGAGGTGTGCTTCGCCTCTGGACATGCGCTGAAGGTGGCTGGTGCGGGACGAGCTGCGTTTAAGGGAGCGGATGGCAAGCCGGTGGTGCTGCACGACGTTCTCCTCGTTCTTGAACTCAAGGCCAACCTCATCTCCTGTCTCCAGGCTAGGACGTACCCGTATGGCTACTAAGAAGCTGATTGCAGGAGCTGATGTAGCAGAGCAGCAGCTTGGGACAGAGGAGGCATTGCTGATTCTACCGCATGGCCATGATCCGGATGACGAGGATGAACCTGCCTACTGTTTTCTTGCCCTTGCACAAGAGGAACCAGCTAGCATGGAGGAGGCATTAGCTGAACGAGATAGGGAGAAGT